TTTATTTATTTATTTATTTTGGAGAATGGACGAAAATCGGTGGACGGGCAGGATGTCATCTATAAAAATAAAAAAGTGTGGCCTTACTGGAAAGTCACGCTCCAACGATGTACCTTTCATGTTGACATGATGATAATTCATTTTAAAATATGTTTAAAAGCAAATTCGTTAAAGGTAAAAGCCCTACTTCAATTTCATGGGCAGCTTCAACAAAACTCCATTGATCTTCGTGGTTTTCTTCTTGGTCCATCTCCGTCCAACCAAGGCCCACATCATCTTCTACACCCGTCACTGAATAAGGCTTTCCATCGCTGTCATCTGTTTCATTAAAGGTCACTATTATATCTTTGGACGCCAAGTTCTTGGATTCAGTCGCCCTCTGCTCCACCCCATGGTGGCCGTGACACATGGCCAAAATAATCCAGATGGCACCAGATGTGCGACCAATTAACACTTTCTTCACCAACTGATCTATAAATGCTGTCCGAGGCATCTCTTCTGATCCAACACTGACCACTTCATCTCTGCAGTCGTGTCCGTTCACAATGATCACCGTGCCCCTTTGTCTCTCAGATTGTCTCGAATGTACTTCAACAATGTCGGATAAATTTTGATGAAGTTCTCTTAAATTGTTTATACTTGTGCATCTGGTTGTATGTTCCGTCTCCGATCTCAGGATCGCATCAGCATACCGTCTAACGCGGCACCTGTTGACACTACTAAGAGCATTGGAGACGTTGGCTGTTATCGTCGCTACAGTTGCTGATACAAAACTGTTCATACGTTTCATTAGAGAGCTTATGAATAATGTTTCTTCTCCCTGCAACATAGCCATGATTATTTTTTGTTTTCAAAAAAGATAATGATGGAAAGTCCCTAAATCAAATAAAGCCCATGGAGTTCCCCTATTCAGCATATTCATGAATATATTACCCTATTTTTCCGATTTTTTACCAAGAAAATACATTTGAGAACATTCTTATATGTAAAATGACATTATATTTTTCAATATCACATGAGTACTATGAACAGTAGTGTTTTCAAAGAATATCATAAATATCATTACTTAAAACATGAAACCGAATCAAGACCGTCTCAAACTGCATTTACCCAAAAAAAAATCCCCTGAACTATTTTAGTACTGCGTACCGGTAGGCCTACTTCTTTGCACAGACGAAAGTGTGCATCCTGCTTTTTTCACGACGCCACCTATTAAACCAAATAAACCAAATAAATTATCAAAGGAGTGAAACTGTAAACTTACATTAGTTTGATTATTTAATCGTCAGTGGAACACATTTTGTGCTGATGACGTTAAGGCATAGACCACGTGACCTACATGCACACGGTACCACGAGGTCTTTGTTTACATCTACCACGGACTGCTCACGTTAAAGCTGGGGTCAGGTTAACACGGTGACAAAAGACCACAATTACTGAACTAGCCACTGCGCGGGGTACTTAACAGACGGGGCACTATTTCTAGTGTAGTTTACCAAGGCTATAACATGAAGAAAGAGAAGGAGACGCTGTTCTATGTACACGTAGAGGACACGGACTCGGGGGTAAAGGAGACGTTTACGTATAACGTAAAACCCGAGAAGAAAGAGAAGAGATGGAGAGTTAGGGTGAGTCGAGGCGGGCATATCATATCGCATCACAAGGTTCACCTGTATGTTAGGGCTTGGGTCTGTTGTTGTATACTATGGCTGGCCAAATGAGCATTCAGAGAGAAATGGGCCTAGTCAACGGGGCCTGAGACATTCGTGTTACGCTAAAATATTATGAAATATGAACGTTACAAAAATAGGCACATCTCACCCCATCTCATATGGTATTTCTAATATCAACTGCCAAATAGAAGGAAGTTTCGTTCAATTTTTTTTCAAAAAGATGCCAAAATGATTGTTGGAAGTTCAGAACACAAATCATATGCATATGATGAATTGAAAGGTGGCAATTTTTCATTGTGTGACGTATATAAGGCCTACTGTTTTTCTACAAGATCGCGCATTTTGCGAGCGTGACATTGAATCCATTCTCATGCCACCACTGTCTAATCAACGTTAGTAGATGTAACAGAAAATAGTTTGGTCTCGTTTAGCGTAAGTGGAAAATAATGTGGTATCTGGAGTTTTCAAACCGGCCCCAGAGAAAGTGAATATAAAATGACTGAAGACTCAGTAATTAATTATTTCATCCCCAGGCACATAGATAACATGAGGGCTGAATGCAGAGGTAGACACAATCTTAGAAAGATAACAGCGATATACATGTTTTATGCATGTGTTTTTGATGTAATTTTACAGACTACAGCCATAATTAAAAGAACCTATTGAGGACTTTATAAATCATTCAGCGCCGCAAACCCCAATGCAGTCAAACTTTTATCTGTTTTGTCCACATTTTTATCTGGTGGGAATTTGAAATAGAATACAGTGTCTGGCCTACAGATTAAAACACTGCAACTGCATATACATTTCTTCAAAATTGTCCTAAGCATGATTTGAATTTTAAATTCAAAGTTGAGAGGCAATACTTGGTACTATCGCGATGACACAGAAAAATGGACAACGGTTCTCAAGGACGCATCATCACGATTTAAAATCCTGTTAGCCAAAATGCAAAATAAAATGGCCCATACTGAGGTAACTACATAGGTATATGTGGACTCCCGTGCACACAGGTGTCTTTATATGGCCCATTATCACGAGCTGAACTTTAACAAGCCTTTACCCGTCCAGTCACTATAATTTATATACACAACAATAGGGCAGTATGCCGGTTGTGTGTTTATTCAAGCCTCCAATACGTGAATGAGTCTGGTTTCACAATTATAGATATTGATCAGAAATGTACGGGTCGCTTGACAGACATTTTAGCTGGAAGACTGCGTTTTATTTCCTGCAGGATTAGAATTCGCTTCAGGGATACACATGACCCCTTGTTTACCTACGGGATCTTGTTGATCATAAACTTCTGTGGAATATGAATATGTTTAGGATTTTAACCATGCGGTTATTATATTGCTACATCAAGTTTGCCTTAGTATCTGCCCACTCCTTCTATTTTTCGTGCCTTGACTTGAGCGTAAACAAATGCAAAATCATACCTGTAGAAGTTAAAGTCAACTTTAGGTATGATTTTGCATTAGTCTACGCTCACGCTTCTTATGAATTGAGATAGATAAGATACTTTATTCTCGCCTGGGGCTTGGTGATTGTATCTGCCCTTTGCATGTAATGTTCGGTTGATCAGATTTCGATCCAATAATAATAATGCCTTGATGCTGTACACTGTATATGATAATACAACTGATATTTACGGAACTAAATTATTTAGGAGCGCGCTTGGTATACTGCTGTGACGCTGCTGAGTCAGGTTTGACTGAGGGCAAATTTCATGGCTCTTTGAGCGACTTTTCTAGAAAGGAACTTGTGCAAAACCTGCGTTATTGTTGTAAGAAGAAACCCAAAGTAAACTGACTGTATTGGTGGTGTTTTGAACAATATGTTTGCTCTTATTCGCACCCCATGTCTTTGACGCAGGTTAAATGTAAACAACGTATGATTATGGCATTTTTACGTGGGTTTGGTTTGTTTACAAATTTATTTACCTATTTAACCCGGTGCGTTTATTAAGCCATTATTGTTGATGCTCAAGATTTATTGGCAGGTGCCATATGCTTTGTCTTCACCTCTTTCAGAGTGTTTTGAAATAAGGGACGGTGGCCCCTTTTTCTCCCTAGCTTGTAATGCTGCTGGCGGCCAAATGATTTCCCTGTTGGACTCTCATTATATATCATTTGGTTTTTAGACGAAATCCATTTCAAATTAAGTTATATCAGAATCCTACACAGAGGCTTTTATCCATTACGTCAAAAGCAGCTCTTACAAGTACAGTTGGGAGGGGGGGGGGGGCAACTCTTTAGAAGGGGATATGCCCACAGGTCCTATCAAATTTAGATGTAAACGACCAAATAGATTTTCCTCCCTGTCCCTGTGCCCTTGCAGAAAAGCTAGTTAGATATAGGCCTATCACATCTACCTTGGTCTGGTTAGATATAGGCCTATCACATCTATCTTGGTCTTTTTTAATATGGTAAACTGATTATGTTTGCTTATTCATGCATGATTTCAGACATGATTTCAAAGAGAACATTTTAGAAAAAAATATGAATTGAATCTTGTCGTAAAACTATATTATATACCATAAAGTATTTAATAAAATCAATATTATTTTCAGATGAGGAACGCCGCCAAAGCCGTAAGACGCGGTGCCTCCAGAGCCGCGCGCGTCTTCTCCATGCCGGCTGAAGCAGACGGTCAGGTTGTCACCACCACAATGCTGTACTTATGAGAAAGAGGGAATGCTCCGACATACGGACGTTATATGACAGAACATTTATGTAAAAAGTGGTCTCAGGCGACTCCAGGTGATATAAAGTTACTTCATACTGACAGGAGACTTATATGAGACAGTTGGGCTTTCTTAAGAGAAAAGAGCACCGGTGTGCGAGTGCGAGTTTCGCTGAAGGTGGAAAGAGTAGCAATGGAAATGGGAGGTTTCCACATCCGATGATCAACTACTGTTCCTACTAACCCCATCGGCTTCTGTTCCGATGATCCAGGTGTCATTAGGCCGAGGTATGGCAGACAGGAAGGCAATGTGGACATCTGTGACAGTAACCACAGTGCCACACACGCTACAAAGTGCACAGCCCGCGTCGACGTGTTTGGCCGATATGTCGCTTTTAGCTTGTTACGGGTGCCGTTACTGGTGCGAGGCATTCCTGTGACTGTAGTCAACAAATGGTGAAGTGCATTCCTTTCACAGATTGAACATTCGCGCAACATTTCAATGCATTTCTGTCGCAAATATTGTAATTTTAGTTTGTACTGAACGAGAGAGAGAGAGAGAGAGAGAGAGAGAGAGAGAGAGAGAACGTTATCCACATGTATATTAACTCAAGAGGGAAATAATGCTACCACTACCGTCAAATGGACAGCATGAAACTATTACATACTCCGGAAATTTTGCGTGATTTATAGCCTGTCTGTCTGTATGTAGACTTGTAAATTATGCAATACTGGCAGTTATATTCAAGATAAAATTCATACTGATATGTTTTTATACAGAAGATAATTAAATTTTGATTGACAATCCCAAAGCAGTTTGTTTTGTTTATGTACTAAGGCCACACTTTTTTATTTTTATGGATGACATCCTGCGTGCGCACCGATTTTCGTCCGTTCTCCGTAAAAAAAAAAAAAAAATCCCCCCCCCCCCCAACGAAGTCGGTTGTCACTGCGCATGCGTACTATCGCCACTTGGAAATATAGCCGCTTTGCCGTCAAATTCAACTCTAGGATTACTTTCAAATTACAAGACAATGAATTATATAAAGTAATAAAGAGAAGGGGGCCGTCGTTTTGGATTGTTATCCATTGATATTGGGCATGGAGATATCCACTTTTTTACAATTATGCAAAAGGATGGTGGCGACCAGCGATTTTCGCCCGGAAAATTTCAGTGACATTCTGTCNGTCATATTGTAACAGGACGTGGGATGGAGTGATGTGCTGGCCGGACACCCCTGCGGGCACCACCAGCGAGCAACGGTGTCCAAACTACGTCAACGGTTTTAATATTGAAGGTAAATGATTGTTGTATTAATATCAGTCCCGTAGCCAGCAATTTCAAAAGTGGAGTTCATTTCTGAAAAAAGTGGACCTTTTATCATGAAACCTTCATGTACCTAGATAAAATTTTATCCAGAGGGGGCCTTTCCCAGCAAAAAAAGGAGGTTCTTTCGAACACCCCGACCCCCCCCTCTACCCCCACCCCCCGCTACGGGCCTGTAATATAATGAGCATTATTGAATTTTACAGAAATGCCCAACATGTTCCGTATTGAAGGAATTGTTATCCAATGTATATATATTGCATTATTTTTTATACTAATTATCAAATTCACCAATGTCAAATCCATGTCATTATTACGAAGAGAACATGATGAAAAATAGGAAGCATGCAATATATTTTGGTCAAAATCGTATCTGTGTTATGCGAAAGCGAGAATGTGAACATATGTTTTTTTTTTCCTTTGAAAATGATTGATTGATTTATCATTCTGCGTGTAGATGAGCGACAAATCCACAAAAAGTACCTTATTCAAGGAGTTGAGTGTCCCTTCATCCTTAGACCAAAATAATATATCATTTGAAAGGGCAGAGTCTGCTGGAAAAAGTTAGTCATAGTGTGGGAATGACAAGTGGCTAAGTAACCTTAGCAACGGACAGAATCCCAAATGGCATCCTTTTTTTCTGGTGAAGAACGTGACACCGTTAAGTTAGTGTGTGTATTGGCCACTTAAAGAAGTGAGACAACTTCAGTGCGTTTACTATTAGGAGACAAAGCCTGCCATATTGGGACCCGTATATGATTTAATAATAATAATAATAATAATAATAATAATAATAATAATAGACTGAAAATATACAGTTAGAGTTAAGGAAAAAATAAACATGTTTAATATTCGTGTTGGCTACATTACTATCAGGAGTGAACGCCAAATCAGAGAGTCCCGTCTCGTTCGGTAATTTCAGATTCACGGATACATGTACCAGAGCACATCTGCGTGTACATTGCACCATCTGTCTGTTCCGTTCACTGGGTACTGATTTCGTTACAACAGTGACTGCGTTGATTGCATTTTCGCTCGCTGAAGCGTGTGTCATTGGAGATGTGATTAATACGGTGAACTATCAGTCGATTAGCGTGCCTGTTTGCGAGACTTCGAGCCCGATTTGTGCACTTGTAGTCTTAAAAATTGTTCTGTTTTATCGGTCGTTTTCGCTGAAATTTACATACATGTATAATCTTGAATTGTACCGGCGTGTCTTTTGCGAGACTTCGAGCTCAGTTTGTGTACTTGTACTCTTAAAAATTGTTCTGTTTTATCGGTCGTTTTCGCTGGAATTTACATATAATCTTGAATTGTACCGGCATGCCTTTTGCGAGACTTCGAGCTCGGTTTGTGTACTTGTACTCTTAAAAATTGTTCTATTTTATCGGTCGTTTTCGCTGGAATTTACATATAATCTTGAATGTACCGGTATCTAGTTGAAGCTGAAAAGATTTTCCGCAGAATTTCTTTTTGATTAGTAAGCCATTTATGGAGCAAACGGATTAAGTCATTTTTCAAGCTTTGACGAGGCAGGAGATTCAGACAGGAGGTTGAGGAGACTCGACCGATGTTGTCGATGTTTTTGCCGGACTTAACATCTTTGATGTTCAGAATCGATAGATATGTTATGCATATTGTATTGCTTGTTATAGCCCTACTTGCGGTATTATGCCATTCAGTCATTTGCTAAATAATAATAAACGAATAAACGGAATGGAAACAAATATGAAGTGAAATAAGAGATGCAATGTGAACAACTGATGCTCTCAACTAAGAATTTCGAAAGCTTTTTCTGAGAATCCCCATAGGCTTGCTAACACCGACGATTCTTACAAGCGGTGCCCCTGTCGAGATATACGTGAAAGTTTGATACCTGAAGGTAACAAGTGCTCTTTAATCCTTCAACATGCACACGTAGAATCATTTGATATTGCCGCGTAGGCCAGAACCGTCTGACCTTCTTATCTCCAAAATGCAAAACGGTAAGCTACGATCATTTTTGGATTTCATTGAGCCCAAGTTCGGTACGGAAAGCCATTTGGTGTTCTGTAATTTATTTGGATGATAATAGTGATTAAAGCGCTGAACCTTTGGAATGAATTTTAAAATGCTCTGCCGAATCCACGATTTTGTTAGCGGCGGGAGCAAGGGGAAAGATAAAACACAGAAGACTAGACGAGAACAAGGATAAAAAATCCTTGGTTTCACTTTAAGTATATGCTCAGCTTAGAAACGAAAACCGAAAAACATCAATCTCGAAATCGCTTCGTTATCTATGGCATCCCGACGTCTGTTATGTTCCATCAAAAGCCTTCTTTATCCGGAGTTATTACAGAATCCCAAAGAATGCTCTCCAGTATGACAAACGTAATGAGATTGTATACGCCAATTAGGAGCAAAAAAGACGCTTTTAGCTTACGCGCTCCCAAGAAGCCGGTGCTCCTAATTCAAAGTTATCAGATTTTAAATAGATCGGCAGTCACATTGCTTATTGAATAAAAACAGGATAATGGTAAGATTTATAACAAGCGCCACAGGCTGAATATCTCTCTCTCAGTGCATGGATGTAAAGTGTTGAGATCGAGTTAGCTTGTCATTTTAGTTTCTCGCTGATAATAGTGATGCAAAAGTCATTACGTCAAGCTCCAAAATACATTTACATGACTTTGTAAAGTTTGGCGCCATGCACTTCAAAACATGTTTAATATAAGCGTATACTGGGACTAATTTGCCATTATATTGTTAATGTAATTCATTTTGGGCACATTTTCAGAGTCTGCGACCAAAAGGTGTCTGGAAGACGGTTCATGGTTTTACAGTACTGTCTACAATAGATCTTGGACCAATTATTCCACGTGTCAGGCAAACATTAAGGACATCCCGGTCCTCTCGACATTCATGAAGGTAATGTTACCCGATTTTGGACTACCCTGCTGCTTGTGTTACCCTTCTTGTAAACTGCTTGTTTTTAGCCCGTATGGGACACTACCGTATACAGTGTATGCTGTATTACTTTGTTTGATTGAATATTTTGTTTATTGTGTTACCCCGCACGACAAACTACCCATAGATTGTATTATTATGTTTGTCAGACACCCCGTTCGTAATATTAACACTTTTCGTAATATTTATATTTTTGCGTTGCCCTGAATGTCTTTATTCGTGTTGTGTTACCCTATTTTGCCTTTACTTATGTTGTGTTGCCCTATTTTGCCTTTATTCATGTTGTGTTACCCTGTTGGGAATAACGTGATCAGATGAGCAGAATGACGCACATGTGACCTGAGCACAACATCCCCAGTTTGAGGTAGTTGTACTACAGCTTCATCTGGAAATTTACAATCGGCTGGGTAACAGTTTGGTTACAGCAGTTTGGTAATCTTTGGGATTCTGGAATATCAGTAGTTATATAATGTTATTGCTGGAAAAGAGTAACATGATTTTCCTTTGACGCCATTTAGACCTAAACCCCTAGAAGGGTTATTCTGAATGCACTGATAGAAACATCAGGATGATAGATAAGAAAGAAATTGGATTTTATCATAGGACGATCAGACGGTGCATTTAGATAACATTTTACCGTCATTTGTTTGGAACTTTGCCATATCAATTGCGTCTGGTGTCATTTTGGGCTTCTTTTTGATTTATATCTTATGCGATGTCAGATACCTCTGGGGATTCTCAATGAAATATATTCTATCAATCTGAAACATGTTACGTAACAGATGTCTTATAATGGTTAAATTGTCAATTTATATGAAGGAAATAGACAAATAAGGAAAAGCAACCTATCAATCAACCAAGCATTCAATCGGTAAATTAACAGATGAATAACGCAAATGATAAATGAACACACTGATGAATGTTTTATAAATGTTTGATAAAAGACTTGTCAGTATTTCGTGACGGGTTGTTTATTTTGATGTGTTTATGTGTTTGTGGACTCATCAAAACGACATGATAAAATACATGAATGAATAGCTAAATGCGCAACTGAAAATTTTCTGTAAAATCCTGGCCGTAATTCCTCTGCTAGTCATTGGGTTATATATTTCGATATTTCTGAAGAATTTTTTAAATTTAAAAAAAAAAAACAAAAAAACATTGTGCATTTAAACGTTCTGTCGAGGTCCAGTCTATATTTTGTGACATCATGGTGATTAAAAATAATATCGTCATCTATTCTCTTTACTTTTAATACCATTACATTTGAACAGAAATTAAACCCTTTTAACTTTGTATTTTATTCGTATATGAAATGTATTTAATTTGTAAGGTCTACACAACATTTTAGACTTTAAATAAGTATACGTGTTATTATTATTATTTTTTAGGATCATCTTAATAACATTCAGCTCTTGTACAGTATTGGATACGGTATCTCGCTGATCTGCCTGGTGGTGGCGCTAGTAGTCATGATTAGTTTCAGGTGAGTATATTTATTTCGACAGTTGCAGTATAAAGGAACATCTGTCACTGCATGAAATCCCATTACCATCAAAGCCGCCCGCGAATAGCTATATAATAAATGTTTGAAGTTACCAAACGCTACACTAAGGATTTTTCTATTTTTTTACATGGATACACAATGGTTATGATTTCATTTCGCCCTATAAATTTTCCATTGTATACAACAATTTGACAAATGTAAAACATCTTTTTGTTAGGCCTACACAAAATAACTATTTTAATAGTAAATATTAAAATATTAAAATTAAAATCATTAATATTATTAATGCTCGACTGTAGGCGTCTCCACTGTCCAAGAAACACCATTCACTGCAACCTGTTCCTGTCATTCGCACTGAGAGCGGGGATAACACTTCTAAAGGACAACATACTGGAGGGTGACTTGGGCCTGCCCAACGATGTGGTGCAACGCACGAACGGTATCTATGAATTCCTAGGAAACGGAACGGTAGGTGGAGTGCGTAGTCAAGACGTAGTTGGCTCCAGCTTGTAAATCTATGAGCCACTATTCCGACCCCTCCCCCCTCGTAAAACAAGTATCACGTCATTTTTTAAGTGAACGTGTTTTTTTAATGCTTTTCTATATGTTTATGTCAAACGGGACCTAATTAGGTCGAATATCGCACCAAATAACTGCACCTTATATAACTACCCGAGTTTTCATATATTAAGTAAATCGCACTCGGAATCTATGGAAGCAACTCTTGGTATTTATTGGCAGATTTATCCAACCACCTCTAGACAAATATATGTGAATTTCGTAATAATTTGAAAATAAATATCTTAAGTTATTTCAAGAGTACTCGCAAAACTGTCTGAACATTGTCTTTTTATGTGAACACACTCAGTCTCTAAACCGCAGCTCTGACCTTCGTTTCAATTCCCATTTAGACAGCATGAAGCAACCGCAAAGCAGATATCGTTTCATGTGCTTTAAAAGCACTTTACACGCGGTAAAAATGATTCTTTAGCTATTTACTTTAAGTGACAAGCACTCATCACCTTTCCTCACCTGGCTGTCATAAACTTCGACTTGTTGCTCTGTTAACACGTGTACGTCATGGCAATTACAACGCGTGTTTAATCACGGTGTAAACACGTACGCACCCACCCCCGTCACTCGAATCCCACCCATGTTGAATTCCTGTCGGCGAGTCCATTAGCAAATGAGTTAAAACATTCAAGCTCTGAAAATTAATAAGACGAGATCTTGGTGCGTGGGTTATGGCGTGCTTTCTCAATTTAATTTTATAACAGTATTTAGCAATTGCATGGTTATACAAAAATGATGAAAATAAAAGGCAAGAATAACTGCCGAAACCACAGGATGTCGGTTATCACAGCGATGTCTTTACTGTTGGGTTGAAAAATATATACATAACAGAAAAAAGACTGAGAATAATATGAACAACGCGTGGTATAGTGCGATCACCAAGTTATATTTATAACGTGTTTTCTTGCCCAATTGTCTTAATGTTAAAATAATGATGAATGTGGAGGAGGGGGGGCAGAGGAAGAGCGCAGGGGTGGGGTTTTGGGGGTGGAGTTCCCTGAAACGTTAATTTGGCCAACCTTATTAACCTACTTTTGCGTACATCGCTAAAATGATGGGGGGACAATTTGTTCAGATGGTTGGCAGCTTAAGCAGATTTCCTAAATGAAGCGTTCCTTGAGCGAAACGACTTTTTGCAGTTATTACACTTTCAACTTAATATAGGCCGCTTAATATTTCATAGTATTTTGATATCAGTTATATTTTACTTCGACGGAGCTTCACTCTCTCTCTCTCTCTCTCTCTCTTTCTCTCTCAGAGAGTTTTCTTTTGTTTTTAGAACAGCTAAGAACCTGAAATTAAGAAACAGCTTTCTGACTGCATTGGTTAAATACTTATTCAATTATGTTATAATCACCCCATCAATAATTTACATTTATTGTCTAAGATATACGATTCTTTTGCCGGAAAGGATGTGAAAATCAATGAATAAGAACGGCTAGAAAGCTTTATGCAAGTGTGTTTATTGGGAAACAATTGCGAGGGTTTTTGGTAATTGTTCCAGTGTCAGCTGTCTCTGATAGAAATGTCACATCGCTTGCAGCATTTCCTGTGACCTTATGAATAAGATACGTCTAGCACTTACTAGTATAACGTTCCTTTGGGTATATCTGTCAACGCAAAAAGAATGTAAATATATTATAACGATTAGTCAAGTTTTGGCTACACCATTTTCACAGCGTAATTGTTCCAAGGTTTTGGATGTCCCGGTTAATTGATGGCTACCGTCAAATAAAATCGACTGACCTCAACCTGGTAGCTAGAGGTGACAATCAACCATTTACGAGTTAAATCTCTCGTTGTTTGGCGCCTATTTATTCGTAATCGTACTCAATGGTACATGTCATTATAAAATATTCTAGGGTCGAAACAAACAAGTTAATGAAATCAAGCAAGCAAATTAATCAATTGATTTCAACTAATTAATAAAAAAGAAATTGTTGGTGCTATTGAAAAAGAGAGCATTATTTCAACGTATTAATGCAAAGTAGAAAAGCGGAGTTGATTGAGTCTCTGCAAAAAAAAAGTTAAGATCATATTGAGAGTCTAAATGTTAGTACCCCTGTGTACCCGCTGTGCCCACGTAAAATTGCCGCACGTAGCTCGACTGAGTAACTATGAATTAATGCATATGCAATCTATAGGTCACGGTCACTGACAGACATTGATTTCTGCCTGAGGTAAATATCCTCCGAACTTTTTTCTTCGAGTGTAATAGCGGGTGCTTGAATCTACATAATAACCAAGGTCGTTTTGTCATTGTTGGTAAACCCTTTTTTACAAGGCCAATGTATTGAACTTGGTATCGTGAGGCAGAAAAAAATCGGTCTTATTTTACGTTAACGCCCACTTCTAGATACAATACGAATGGATTGGAATTGAAATCTTGGCCATCGAACATTTATTTCGACTCTATGAATATTTGAACAAAACCACTCCAAACCGTCATAATACTGATCGGCAAACTTTGACAACGGAGACTGCTGTCTGATATAATACGCTGTCATTGTGTTTCTGAAGACCAGAGAACTGTTTTAATGTATCGTTTTTTCCTTTTCCTGGAAGTGAATGTTTCCATCTGCTGTGGTCGATTCCTGGTTTCAAACTCAGCTATACCTTTGTCCAAATTTTTGAAAGGGAACGATGGTTCATAAGACAATAGATTATGTATTTTAAACTTGCATCAAATATAAAACTTTTTCTATTAAGTCTCAAAGAGATAATGATCATCCAAACCGTGAGCAAATATTTAGAAGCATGTTTTGAAATCAGGCAGGAAACTCTGTCTGAGTTTGGAATATAAATATACCCAATTATTGCTCCAGGAATGGTTTTTGTTTACAGTTAATTCAATATTATCTAATCATGGCAGAAGTCTGTTTTTATTTTCATTTCTTTTGTGGTTCATTTATTATTTTTAACCGTCACAATCGCAGTCAAGCGGGTCAATTGGTCGTAGATTTAATGTTTCTTTTCTAACATATGATGAATACAGGTTACAATTAGTTAGAAATAATAGGGTCAGTATATTGTGCTAATTTGACCTGTACAAAGTAATGAGAAACGGACCACTCTTCCTAGTGAACTTTTTCCTTTCAATTCAATACACTAGTCTAATGGAAGCATCGCCATTGTGTTAGTTGAGACACTGAAAGCAATGAAACATTCTCTTTCTTGATTCTTCAGCATTGGGAGTGCAAGCTTCTCTTCGTGATGCTTCACTACGCCATTGGAGCCAACTACTCTTGGGTTCTGATGGAAGGACTGTACCTTCACATGCTGATCTTCGTGGCTGTCTTCTCTGAGAACAGCAGCATTCGGTGGTACATCGTGTTGGGATGGTGTGAGTAGATAATTGATTTTCACCGTCTCTATAGATAAGAAAATAAGATGATAAAAATGATTAAGTAAGGTGAAATGAATGAGTTAAAGAATGGATAAATAACAAAAATTCCAAATGCAGGTCAAATGTTCTTATTATTTTGATCTACGGCCATTCTTCCCGTAAATGGTGATGCTGCGTCTAGATAATCTTTCAATCTGATTGCTTTCAGCGATAGTCCCTAAGGATTTCGGTAGAATAAACTACGTAAAACGATAGTTTTATTGGGAATGGGCCCTTACAGATATGTTTTTATCTGCTTTTTATTAACAGAACCGCGTGTAGAATCTGATTTCGGATTTTCAAATTATCCAAATGTATTGAGCAATTATTGTGTGTATATGACATTTCAGGTTATCCACTGCTGTTTGTGATACCATGGGCTATCCTTAAGGCGACATACGACGACCAGGAGTAAGTATTCGATGTTATCTGGGTCATTTCACAAATATCGCGCCTCTTCGAGACGCGTCAATAACGCACATGTTTCGTTTGGTATTTTAGTCTATTTGTATAAATGTTTTATCTCACTTAAAGTTACTTTTGGTTTCTTTTGAGGTTGCTATAGTATGAAACGGCAATATCAATGGGGAAGGTCAGAATCAATTACATTTAACACAAAATATGAGTGTCGCTGAGGGGACTATAAAAGTCCCCTTTTTATGAAATTACCCATTTTCTTTTTGATGATCTTTGATAAAATCAATATATATATATATATATATATATATATATATATATATATATATATATATATAATGAAAAAATTACGAGATGGCGCATATCTTGGGAATGAACGAAAGCACTCTCAGAGCGCAAGTAGCATGAGTGTTCAAAAAAAAAAAAAAAAAAAAGGACAGCTCAAAAATCGTCGTAGAAACATGATACTCATGCAAGAAAGAAACGTGCTGTTTAAAAGTACACTGACAAAATAAGCTTTGTAATATACATCGTGCTAATTTTTGTTTGCGCCATGCTATTTCGTGGATACACATTCCATATCCTAATTTTCCAAAACGATCTGCAATGAAATCATCACTATCGTTTTAGCTGTTGGAACACTCACACGGACAAACCGTACAGCTGGGTTTTACGTGGATCCCATGTGTTAACATGTCTGGTAAGTATAACATATTTTTATAAACAGAAACTTAAAGACACCGACAACAACAACAAGAACAAAAATAATAATGTAAAATGTAATGATTATTTTAAACTGCTTATTTTAAAACTCAAACGTGATACATAAAAAAACTTGTTTACCAACCAGTGTCTACCACATCTGAGAGTGGGGGGGGGGACGGTTGGAGGTCGGACATGCTTCTCACACTACCTATACCTCATAAATGATACTGAAGTCTCTCTCTCTTCCAGGTAAACATTATTATCTTCCTGAACATCGTCCGCGTGCTTTTTATCAAGCTACGCGCCAGTAGCTCCCAGCAGGCAAGGAGGTACAAGTACAGGTACATGTTTTGCTAGGCACGCGCCCCGTAGGCTAGCGAAGCCGGTTTCACAAGAAAGGCTAAAAGTTTTTGGGCTAGACGGCTGGCTTAGACGGCTAAATGGATAGCCGACTTTACATGCTATGTCGATTTTTAGATATTAGTCTATGAGAATTTAGAGGTTGGTTTACACATGATAAATGTAATTTTATTTACATTTCTGAATGGCCTTATTTTAGCTCTGAGATTATAAAACGCAATGAAGGCTACCATAATTTGCTCAGTGGATTTGTTAAGATATAGAAACAAAGGCAAGTTGAACAGCTTATATGATTCTTTCGGAAACACAACATAGTTGGTGAAGTCTTAGTAGGCTAAGACATTAGCCCAAAAACTTATTTAGACTTTCTTTGAAACTGATCCAAGGGAGCCTGTGTAACAGGCCCCTGTAGTGCTATTAAACGAAATATTTTTCTCTCCTTGAATTCCCCCTAGTTGCATGTGGTGGAACCAGGAATTTTGGGGAAATCGAGTTTTTTTTTTTTTTTTTTTTTTTTTTTTTTTTTTTTTTTTTTTTGGGGGGGGGGGGG